AATCCCCTTCAATGTCTTCATCTTATAATGGGGAATATGTTATGTTCCAACAAATCCACTGAACTGCAGAACTGCCCTAACATTTACTTACTTATTTATCAATATAAACACATACTATTTCATAACATTACATTTTATTAGAAAATTCAATATGTAGTAGCGGAGAGTTCAATGTATGTGAAGAGCCGGCCCCTACTGAGGCTTCATAATGGTAACTGTTACTGAGATCAATAATAACTTAAAAATCCAAGAAAAATAAAACGTTATCAGAAAAAAATTAGTTTCTCAAAGAATATAACAAATAGCAGTAGAAGACAAAGCTTATTCTATATCATCTGCAGCAATTTTCTATCTATGAATGTAAAAGCAATATAAATTAACTCCAGCCATAAATCTCTTGATTGTAACTAATGGACTTTAATAAAGAGGTTTTACACAAGACCTATATATTTTAAACTTTATAAAAATTCTGATTGGACCTGGCCAGGGTGGCTCAGTGGTTGAGCATTGACCTATGAACCAGGAGATCACGGTTCAATTCCCAGTCAGGGCACATGCCTAGGGTGTGGAGTTGGGGACTCAATCCCTAGGATTGAGTATGCAGGAGGCAGCCAATCAATATTTCTCTCATCATTGATGTTTCTATCTTTCCCTTCCTCTCTGAAATCAATCAAAATATCTTTTTTAAATTACTTAAAATTCTGGGCTGGGAATATATCTTAACATTAATATTTTAAAATTATCCCAAATACGACCCTTAATACATAAAATTACAATATAATAGACAAGTCTAAACATACTATGAATCAATGAACTTTTATAATAAAGCCAAACCCAGATCAGAAGAATCTATTTGATTCAAGGGAAAACTTTACCCAACCTATTGTAATTTATCATATAGTCTAGGACCGTGGTCGGCAAACTATGGTTCAGGAGCCACATGTGGCTCTTTGGCCCCTTGAGTGTGCTCTTCCACAAAAATACCACGGCCTGGGCAAGTCTATTTTTGAAGAAATAGCATTAGAAGTTTAAGTTTAAAAAATCTGGCTCTCAAAAAGAAATTTCAATCGTTGTACTGTTGATATTTGGCTCTGTTGACTAATGAGTTTGCCGACCACTGGTCTAGGACATAGACCCATATTTTAAAGATCTGCTAATTTAGGAAGAAATTAATCAACCATTAATAGTAAATCACTGTGCCAATTTTTCTTACTACATTAGAATTAGAATATGCACACTGTTCAGTTTGGTTTTGTCAAAGGAAATTAATTTAAACCCCTTTTATAATAATAAAAACACAGATGTAATCCAGGAACTATATTCAGGTTAGTATATACAACCCAGTGTTGGGATTACAACTATACAAAGGCTGATTTTATAACATACCCCACAGCTTCTGTATCTAATTACCTAAGTCTTACTCCAACTTTCCTGAAAGCAGTCATTACAGAGACCTATTCCAATGATGTCATTTTTGCTGACCACTTTAGAAGCTTGGGGCATATTCTTGTCAAATATGCTTAATTGTAGCAAATTTTAAATTCTCTGAGAACAGCTATGATTTATGAGAAGAGGCAACTGTTATTGAGAACTACTTCTGGCAAAACAGACCAAGCTTAATAAGCTTCAGGTTTGTTTTGTTTTTTGAAGGAGGGAATTGACTAGTAAGATCTTTAATAAGGTTAATTTTCTTAAAAACCATACAGACAAATTTAAAATGGGATTTCCAAGCTTGGAGCAGCAACAGTATCTAAGTAATAAGAGTATATTCCTATACAATGTTCTCTACTATGTTAGTCCTCTGTAATCCCAGAACAGTCCTATACTTAGCACGTCTACACAAATTTCTTCTTAGTATCTTAACTGTAGTTCTGATGTTTTTTACTAGCTGTTCATGAGTTTTGAATGTTGCAGTACTATTATTATCAAACCATTAGCCATTTCTTTAGCTTCAAGATATCCAGTGACTTGAATAATATTAACTTCCTTAATACTATCACATTAAGGAAGGCTCAGAAGAAAGAGTATTCAAAATGTTCAACTTCCATTTGTAAAGTTATTTTTAAAACTTACTTAGACACTACATTATGTGATGTATGCGATATTCCTTTTTTACGTTTAATAAAGCTACATATCTACTCTCACAGTAGTCTACTTCCAGTTCAGACACACTACAGAAAACTAAATTACAAGAAAACACCACATTTATACCATATACAAGGAAAAAAGAAAAATATAAGACAATGTAAATCAACAATAGCATAAAATAAAATTTTGCCAAGAAGCTACTTTTTCATTACACAACTACAGAGTTCTGAGGGGCGAGACCATACAATTTATATACTTTCCCACACAAGAAACTAACACAGGCCCTTTGAGAATGTTACAGTATAATTACAAAATGACACAGGTTAATATTTAAGTAGAAATCAAGCCTCTCAAAATAAAATAAATATTTATAAGATTCAGTTTCTGTTTTGTTAAACATTAAAGAAAGGTCTTGGAACTTAATAGGAAATGTTAAAAACAAAGATGACCTAGTTAAAAGAACTCCTGATACATTTTATTCTTTCAAGCAACCTTTCACCTAATAAATGATAAAGAATGTGGTTTGTGGTTTTAGTTTTCTTCCCAGTTCCAGAAATTGACTGATTCCTTTTGTAGTATTTACTTTTCTCTTCCCATCTGACCCCCAAACATGCTTTGGATGTCTTTTGTAAAATTTTTCAAGGCAGGGAGTGAATTCACAGTTCATGAGCTGTTAAATAAAGTTAAAATGACAGTATCATACAATTACCCTAACTCTTTAAAATAATCTTAGTCTTCTAGAATACCAATCTAATTCTTAGAAGCACAAAACACAGGAAGCTCAGTGTTCCAAGAAAAACTAATAGTAACTGATTCATCCTGGCTACCCAGGAAATACCCAGCAAGGATCTTGTTTTATGTAAATACTGACAACAAATCTGTCTAGTAATACCTACCACCCATGGACAGGAAAACAAAAAAAGAGCTCATGGAACAAATGCACGATGACTAAAAAGTACAGAAAGAAAACATAAATTTGGAGATGAGAAGAAATCAGAGCTACATGAAACTCATGATAGATCAGTGAACTACAGAGATAGAAGTAGACTGAGGTGGTAGAAGAGAAGCGATCACCACTGAAGGAGATGAGAGTGGAATGTAGGTGGACAGGAAGCTAAGTGGACAGAGGTGTGGGTAAGACAGGAAGGAGCTAGAAATGACAGGAGCTGAAATACAAGAGACAACAACAAAAGCAGGGAGGTAGCAGACTAGAAGGATGCAAGCCCAGGGAAATAGAGAAGTAAAGAGAATAGAAAGTATTTTCAATGGGAGGCTGAATCATGGAAAAGGCAAGAAGTAGGCAAAATGCAAAGACACCAAACAAATTATGAACAGACAAGAAAAAATGTAAGCAGATGAGTAGAAAGGGAATTAAAGGGATGAAGTGAAAAACAGGCATACTGAAGGGAAAAAGTATATTGTTGAAAATTGTTTCTGGAATTTCACTTTATTAAATTCTACCTTAAAATCTGTTCTTTTGCTTCTACTTCTTTGTTGGGTAAACTTCATACATAAGAATAAAGGTTTCCTCAACTTACAGAGAAGAAATTTTTGATGTAGTCAACTGACTTAACTGCAAAAAGTAAAAAGAGCTGAAAAATATAAAAATTATCTTAGCTCTAAACCACAAATTAATTTTCATACCAATACATTAATGACCTTAATGATCGAAATGCTACCTTTGTTAATTATAAAAGCTTTCTCTGTCTCTCTGTCTATGTGCTTATTAGTCAGCATTTGGAGAGATCCCCACTATTAAGAAAGTTTGATGGAAGTTTAAAACAAGGTTAAAACTCTAAGGGTTAAGATATGCTATAAATTTTCTATAAACTTTCACTACCCATTTCTCCTAGGTAACTGAAAACAGAACACAGATGAAGTGGAAACAGTTCATCCTTCATTTCCACTTAGAAACAGTAAATGAAAACAAAGCATTAAACAAGAACATAAAAATAGTAAAGAACAACAACTCTGAAAAAGATTAGCAGCTGCTCTATTCTTGACCCTAGGAAAAAACCTAGGCCAGTGGTCGGCAAACTCATTAGTCAACAGAGCCAAAATCAACAGTACTACAATTGAAATTTCTTTTGAGAGCCAAATTTTTTAAACTTAAATTTCTTCTAACGCCACTTCTTCAAAATAGACTCGCCCAGGCCGTGGTATTTTTGTGGAAGAGTCACATTCAAGGGGCCAAAGAGCCGCATGAGGCTCGCAAGCCGCAGTTTGCCGACCACGGACCTAAGGGAAAGAGCAACCATACCAAAGGTTTATTTGTGAAGATATAATTCTTATTTTCACTCTGAAAAAACAAGGTCATCGGATCTTAAGTCCAAAAAAATGTGCAAAATAAAAGGAAGCACACACAGAGGCTGAGAATAGATAAAGATGAATCTAAAGTCACAAAGACTGAGACAGAAGTACATCATATGAAGAAGCAATTCATCAACATCCTGCACTTCTAGTAATTATTAATTGAAAGTCAATTTCTAGAGGCCAACATCCCAATAAATTGTTCCTATTTCTCCTATTATATCTACTAGATCTCTATCCACACAGAATAAAACTCTGATCTTAAGTAGATTCCTAACTATAGCAGTAGATGAAAATAACTCAAAAGCAGGTGGGTTAACAAAGATAAGAAACATGTAAAGAAATATGCTAGCATCTTATCACTTATATTTTCAGAACTATCTTCTTTTGGCTGCTCAGAAATCCTAAGTGACAGGGCGGGTGGGGGAGGGGGTCACTTCCTGAAATTTGCCATGTCTCCAGCTTTTTACCATTCTTCCAGGAATATCTTAATGAGTGCCTTGGCCATATAGTCCATTCACAGGCACCTGATATTATCATTTACTTTTAGAAATAGTTGCTGCTCCACAGGACTTAGTAGACATCTTGAAGAAGAAACAAACCTGGTTCTTTGGTCTCTATTGGGGACATGCTGAAACTAGGATTCTCTCTCATACTCAAAGAGAACATGGGAGCCGAACTGTGCTATTTCCAACGTAAGATGCCTTAAAAAAAAAAAAAAAAGATTAAAAATCAACCACATTTTAAAACACAAAATTTAAAAAGTGCAAATTCTCACACATTTCTGGCTTACAGTTTAGCTAAGATGGAAAAATAAGTAATTCAAATAAGAATTTAATATCTAACTTCAACTTTAAATATACTATATTTCCCCAAAAATTTAACAGGGCATCTCAGGGTACACAATAAAATTATGTCAAATAATTGAAAGTCCCTAAAATTAATTTAAAAAATCAGTTGAGATTGTAAAGAAATTCTGGTGATTGACTTTTCAAATTTTACCATGGCCAGGATAAAAGATGGGCTTTGAGAAAACACTATTTCTCTACACTCATATCTTACTTGGAAATGTTATGAACAAGCCTGGTTTATACAGAGCTATAAAATGGGCTACTAAACTGATGACCTAGAAAATTTCTCCCAACCATGAAATTACATATTATCTGGTGACTAGAGGCCCGGTGCATGAAATTCATTCATGGGGGCGGCAGGGGGGGTCCCTCCGCCTAGCCTGTACCCTCTCCATTTTGGGACCCCTTGGGGGATGTTCGACTGCCTGTTTAGGCCCCATCCTAAACTGGCAGTCAAACATTAGGGATGGGGCCTAAACTGGCAGTAGGACATCCTTCTCACAATCCGGGACCACCGGCTCCTAACCGCTCACCTGCCTGCCTGCCCTCCCCTGCTGGCCTGGTGGCCACTAACCGCCTCGGCCATGCAACACACCCCCTCCCCCCCCACTTTGGCTTTGTCAGGAAGGATGTCTGGTCTAATTAGCATATTATCCTTCCCAGCCTTTTGGCTAAGATTAAGTGTAGTATTTGTCCTTATCAGTTTAATTAGCATATTACCTTTTTATTAGTATAGATAGCATTTGATACTACCTACTACCGAACCAGCTGTAGGCAAGTCATCTGACTTTGCCCTGATTTTCTTATCTATAAAACACAGGGTTGGTTCTTCTGACGAGGGCAGGTGGTTTCAAATACAGATGTGCAAGCCATGCTCCTGGGGTTAGGCTAAAACATGATACTTTTACAATAAAGCCTGGGGCATTCTGATGTCTACTCCTACTTAGAGAACCACCGCACTAGATCATGTTCAGGAAACAGTTCTTCAACCCTAACGTCCATAAAATAAGGGTACACATTTCATTAAATTATCCAGCTTGACAGGTTTAAAATATGAACCAGTGTATCCCCTTCCTTTCCCTAAAACACCCCTTTTAGAGAAGAGCCTGCAATTAAGGCTCATATGCCAATTGGATAAAAAATTTAAATGCAGATTTTAAGCCAAATTTTCCAAATTATTTTCTCAGGGATTTAAATAGAACAGGACTGTGGGACAATACTCATAGATATAAGTTGTCTCTATGACAGGCCATCCCAAAACATGTGCTGATGTTAAAGTGACAGCAGCATGCATAATGTCTTCACTGGCTCAGCGCCATGACCTCCGATCCAGCAGAAGTGACCCGTAACAGAGTACCGTACCTGCAGGGCATGCGGCGTCCTCCCTGGCTGCTAGCCAGGGCTGCGGCCCACGCTTCATTCAAGGGCACTTCCTCCTCTGATTCCTCGGCTGTGGGTCGGTGACGTATGTGGTCATTGAGAGCCAGTGACTCTGTTGATGCCCAACACCCAAAATAACAGTCAGCTCCCGACAAAGGGCTTTCAGAGAATACCATTTTTCTTCATCTTGTTGGATTTTGTTTGTGGGCCCTCATTTAATTCCACGTGGCTTCAAAATGACTTCACTCCAGGTTTGTTACCAAATCAACAGCATAATTTTATGGTGGCTTTAAATATAACTTGGTTTGAAGAGGCCTCTTGGCCCCAATAAGGTACTCTATTGCCCAAGACAAGCTGAAAAAATGGGTCAAGATTTCACACAACAAAGCAAATGGACAGAAGTGCACAGGAAACCATCCATAACACTCACATTCTGGTAAATGACTACTGCTAGCGTTTAAATCTGGTGTTTTAAAGAGAAAAACACTATAGGTAAGATAGCAAGCGTCTTTAATATTACTTTATTTTACATTAGTTTTCTGACACTAAATAAAACAGTCACTGTTCTATGCCCTGATGAATTACTGCTTTAGAATTCCATACCTAAAGACTTACATTTAATCCTTACGTAGTTCTGAGATTCAAAATTCAGTTTCTAATTTCAAAATCCAGTGTCCTCTTAAACAACTTCATTATCAACCCCTGCTCTCTGGAAAACACAGCATTATTTCTGCAGCTCGGAGTCACTGCAATCTTTTATGCTGCCTTGAACTTTTACAGCCGAGAACGTAGTGTCAACTTTTAGATGTCTCTTCTGTCTTCGGTAAAGTAAAACTCCCCAAAGAAACCACCAACTCAGAGCTGGACCTGCCTGGTTTCACATCCCCTGTCTCCCTACTGACTACGTGCGTTGTGATATTTGGCAAGTAACCTAATTACCTTGCTGTGCCTCCATTTCCTCATTTGAAAAATGGGATTATTATGAACCTATTTCAAAGAATTGTTGTAGGAGTTAAATAAATTAACATGTAAAGGTGCCTAGCGCAGCATCTGGCACATTCAAAACCCAACATAAATGTTAGCTATTATTACTTTGTATTATTCAGCTCCAAATTATCGCGCTGTTTCACGTGTGTACACAATGTTTGCCTAACTAAAATACTACCAACTAAAATAAACAGCTAACACTCAAAGGCTCATCGTAGTCTGTGGACTCTGTGGAGAGGGTAAAACTGGAGTGTCCTGCCCCTAATGGTAAGTGGGACCTTCATCGGCGGAAAGAAAAGATTCCAATATATTTTTGCTCATTTCACAAATATTTACTCAGCACCTTCTACATGCTATGCTCTGTTCGAGGCTCCGGGCAGATGGCAATGAGTGACACAGAGAAGGTCCTCGCACTCTGGAAGTTTAAAGGGCACTCTACGTGAGAAACACGTTTTGAAAAAGGACTTGTCTTCCAATCTGATGAAGCACAACACTGCTTCAATGCTAAGCAGGAGCCAATGCTGGCATTATGGTCACTCCAGCTTTTTAACAATGACAAAACACACAGAAATGGCTGCAAAGAAAAATTCAGTAACTTCCCATGTAATGTACTCTAAGTATCTTCCATTGGTTATGAAGCACACGAAAGGGATAGTCTCCATGTTTCTGCCATATAAATAACATATAAGAGGTTTACAAACACATACACTCAATCATACTTGAACGGTTTTCATAATAGAAGCTGTGAAGGCCCAGCTCCTAAATTTTGTCTGAACATAACCTATTTGCTGTACACCCTTGTGCTTTGTTCCCCCTCTTTACTTTGTCTCCCAGTGGCTGCATACAAATATCAAACATCTACGAGGCAAGGGCCTGAAGATGTGGTGGCAAGAGTCAGTTAGACACAATGGCGCATCAACTCCAAAACAAAGCATATGCATCTTTTTCCTCTTAAACCGTCCATTGGTGACAACTCTCCGCTCATCCCTTCCCCAAACGGCATGCCTTTAGTTAAAGGAACTCTCTTATAAACACTAACCGGCAAAGCAGTCTCAATCTTTTCCTTGTCAATGATGGCCCACTAGAATCAGAAGATAGGTAAAGTCCCATATGCTCTAATCACAAATAAGACACATTTTCAAATACTTCCCTTATCCTTTCCAGACTTTTCAACTTCTACTACTCTCATAAGATGCAAACTGTTAGGTCCCACTGTCATTCTCATCATTGTTATCTATCTATCTATCTATCTATCTATCTATCTATCTATCTATCTATCTATCTAACATAATGCCTATGCAACTATTATGACTGGTCCACTACTCAACCGGTTGTCCAGTCGCTATGATGTGCATTGACCACCAGGGTGCAGACGCCCAATGCAGGAGCTGCCCCCTGCTGGTCAGTGCGCTCCCACAACCAACCTCCTGCAGTCCCTCCTCCAAGCCAGACCACCCCAATCAGCCCTGATCAGTCCTGATTGGGACTAGGCGAGTCTGTTGGGACTGGGCAAGACGTCCAAATTCGTGCACCCGGCTTCTAGTGTCTATATAAATCATTAGATTGTATCTGTGGAAACACAATCAAAATAAACTTCTTGCTTAAGGAAGTCAAACTGCTTAATTAAATCCAACCAAAAACTTAACTTCTTAATGCACAATGTACTAGACACAACACTGAATATGTTTCAGTTATTTAATGGCAATCTGAAATATTAGGGAGAACCCCTGCAATGTCGATAATATAACATTCTTAACCCTCACATAACATGTTAGACTTATTAACAAAGCAATAGCCAGCCCACCGTTTTTCATTTCCTTGGTTTGGTATTAGAAAATTACTCTTCCTGTTTGTCATTTGTTAATCCTTAATTAGGAATGTCACTTCAAAACTAAATATGGAAAGAAGCCTTTCAGAAAGGGCCACTAAGGCTTTCCCAATGTTTACCTTTTTCCAATGTCCAAGAATTGGGTGACAATGAAACACAATGGGAATTTGGATAAATAAGAGATACAGGGCTTTGGAAACTACTGAATACTCAAATAAATGGACTAATTGTATTTCTAACACAATTTTAAAGCCATCTTCCTCCTTGAGAAACACATTCATTTTCTCTATGAGTCATTGTATATTGCCAACACCTTCATTCTACAAAAGCGAACAGTAGTATTATAAATATATATATACACACACACACACACACACACACATTTGGGCACTTTCAAATCAAACTCATCTACTCAAATACGTTTGAGCAACCTATGCTTTCGCAAAAGTTATCCTGGCAGACTGAATGTGATAAAGCATGTAAACCATTTGGCACAGGCCTGGCAAACAATCATTACTCAACATCGCTCATTAATACTGTTTCTAATTTTCCAACTTTTTAGTAAACCTAAATGGTTGTAAAGTTACATGATTATGCATACACCTACCATGTGTAAGCTAACATGCATTAATACTGTAAGTAAAGCCAGTACGTGAGTGTGAAGTAATTCTGTTCATCTAGAGACAAAAGTAAGTTTAACAGTAACAAAATAATCCGCAAAGCAGCAGAGAACACTTCCTAAGGGTTAGTGTTAAAAATTGGCTCTTAGCTTTGCTTACCAATTAAGAATACAATCCCTACAGGGTCTAGCATGAGTTTTAAGGAGCCGTTAGGTGATCCTGGAGAACTAGCTCAACACGAATAGTTAAGACCTCAGCACGTGGGCAAGGGACCATCTATTCGCAAGGCTGCTGCACCAACCCCTGAAATCTGGTCACTTCCAAGCCCTGGAATCCTACAGAAATCCATTACCTGCCTCAGGCTAGAAAATGCATGTTTCAAGTCCCTACACAAAATTTAAAAAATATATATATCTACAGTGTCACCCTTATAGCATCCAGTTTTTTTATAGCACTTCCAAGAGTCTCGGTCACACATCCTTTATTGCCGTCGGGAAAATGATAAGATCGTTTGGAGAGCATATGCTTTCTTAAAAATAAATGTGAAGGTAAATATGAAAAGTAATCCTACGCCCTCATCAGGAAAAAGGAAAGTCTTGTGTTTCCCAGCCTCATCTCGATCCGTGGGACAAAGCGCATTCCCCCTCCCACGCCGAGTCACACCCGGGGCGCGCCGCGGAGGGGCGGGGAGAGGCCGGGAACTCCGGGGCGATGACCTGGCACCGCTCCTTCCCGCCGGGGCTGGCACACCGCCGCCAGGCCCACGTGGACTGCCCGGCGGGGGGCCGACACCCACGCCCACTGGCAGCCCGGCCGCCCCGGCTCGCCCGCCCGCGGGGGAGAGATCGCGCGGCAGCGGCGGCGGCGGGGACCGCAGTGGGCGGCGCGCGCGCGGCCGGGGACCCGCCGAGAGCGGCGCGCGGCCGAGGGTCGGGGCCGGGGGCGGGGCCGGCGGTGACGCGCCACGGGGGAGGGGAGGGGAAGGGAGCGCGGCTCCACTCACGCGCGGGGGCGGCACCGGGCCGTCGCTGCGTCGCTCCCGTTCATACACGCTTAGTGGGGGCGGAGTGGGGCGGGCGGAGGGGGGCGGGGAGGGAAAAGACCTGGTTCCTCGTCTCTTCCGGAAACCGACCGGCCGGCAGGAAATGACGAAGCACAGGTCGTCCAGGTCCGTGCGGTAACCGGTTCCCGCGAGCCCGGCCCCGACTCCGGGGGAAAGGGGCCCCGCGCCGAGCAGCCTGGCCGCCTGCCGCCTCCGGAGCGAGCAGTGTGAGTGGACCCGGGTCCCTGCGCGGCCCGGGCCTGATCTCGCGTCACCCGACCCCGCCCCCCGCCCGCGCGCCGCCCCGCCCCGGCCCCGCAGGGGAGGGCGGGTGGGAGGCGGATGGAGGTCGCGCCCGCCCCACGCCCCCCCGCCGGATGCTATGAGGCCCCGAGTACCTGCCTCTCGCGTGCTCGGAGCCCCTCGGGGTCGCCGGAAATAGGGAGTCCCCGAGTTCCAGGAACGCGGACGGCGTCGTGCAAGTAGCCGCTTTGCAGCGCTCACAGGGCGGGCGCGCGGCCCCGCCGGGGGTTCAGCGGGAGTGAGCGAAGCTTGAATCATTCTCCGCCAGTGAGCGGCGGAAACGCGGCCACCTGGCAGCTCTGGAGGCCTCTGCCCGCGGCCACTTCCTGACAAGGATTAGATTCTGGACCCGCTCAACTGGATTTTTATTATCCCCCCTGGAGGAGCAGGTGTCACAAGATTGAGGTCAGGGCCGGAAGAGTTAAGGCTTGGGAGTAAAATGCATGTGACAGCCCCCCCTCTCCCCCCGACTGTGACATTTGGGCAGGTTATACTCTAACCACCACCACCATCCCAGGTGCTGCTGTAAAAGGAAGCTTTAGTGCCTCCCCGCAGGGTGGTGGTGAAGATGAAAGAACATGCGGGCTGCCCAGCACGTGAACCCTCAAATGTTACTTGCCTACCTCCCCTTGGCTTCCTCCTGAAGGCCTGTGTTAGCTTGTGTATCCTTTTGACTGGGGAACCCAATCCTTCAGTGTTTCAGAGGACTGAGAAAGAACATCACAGTTATGCAGTGGATTGTGTTATGAGGAACTCTTGGAACTGTGGAAGTGATTCTAATCTGAATTTGTATCAAAACAACAAAGCGCTCTTTGAAAGACAAAAATGGTAACGCTCAAGACACGATGACAAAGTGATAATCTGTTTCAGAACCACCTAGACATGGTATCAGCAAGCTAGTTTTATTTTATTTTTTTTAAATATATTTTATTGATATTTTACAGAGAGGAAGGGAGAGAGATAGAGAGCTAGGAACGTCGATGAGAGAGAAGCATCGACCAGCTGCCTTTTGCACACCCCCTACTGGGGATATGCCCGCAACCAAGGTGCATGCCCTTGACCGGAATCGAACCCGGGACCTTTCAGTCCCCAAGCCGACGCTCTATCCATTGAGCCAAACCGGTTTCGGCTCAGCAAGCTAGTTTTAAAATTTGTGATATAATCACTAATCCCTAGAAAACATCTAGTTCTCAACATAAAAGTCTGCCAAACTAAAACCAAACCCTAGCTGTCATATTTTTATCAACGTTATCTCTGGATGCTAATATTTACCTGGGACTTAAGTCAGCTCACCCTAGCATCTCCTTACTGAAAACGTTCAAGCATTACTGTACAGGGAAAACGTAGGGGAAAGGTTTAGTTTTCTCAAATGATGAATGTGAGAAATCCATGAATCATGAACCAAGCACATGGCTAGTTACATTTCAATGCCCCTGGGCGTTTCGCTTTACACTGGAGAGGAAGGCTGTGGTGGTATGCGGAACCGCTCAGGTGTCTGTGTGTGCGCTTGGTTCGACTGTGGCATGCTGGAAGGGGATGGTCATAGCTCAGGCCACATGTGAGCCTTCAGTTCGTACTGTGACTTTGGACAAAACCAGTCTTTATTCCTGGCAGCCTTACAAAGCCATGCCATTGGTCATGATGGAGAAATGGACAGGAAAGGTCTGCCCTCAGTACAGATCTTTCATGATGACACTACTAAACATACCTCTAGTGCAGTGATCTGCAAGCTCATTAGTCAACAGAGTCAAATATGAACAGCACAATGATTGAAATTTCTTTTGAGAGCCACATTTTTTAAACTTCTAAACCACTTCAAAATAGACTCCCCCAAGCTGTGGTATTTTGTGGCAGAGCCACACTCAAGGGGCCAAAGAGCCGCATGTGGTTCGAGAGCCGCAGTTTGCGGACCACTGCTTTAGTGCATTTCCCTGGAACTATGGAGCAGTAGTGTCATTGCATACCAAATGATGTTGTCTAATATATCTATAATAATAAAAGCATAATATGCTAATTAGACCAGATGTCCTCCAGGAACGAAGCCGGGCTGCCCCGGTCCCTGCCGGCAGCCGGAGGGAAGCCAGTGCCAGCAGCTGGGGAAGGAAGGCCTACTCTTGCACAGGTTATGTGCATTGGGCCTCTAGTGTTATATAATTCACGTTAAATTTTTACCATCTGGGTCAGCAATAACTTGAAATCCTCTATAATTACTGGCATATTTGTAGTAGGAGAAAGATAAGTACTATAGGACTACACCATTTATTGAGTGGTACATAAACAGAATTTTGTGAAAAATTGAAGCCAGAAATTAACCTGGTTCAGATCTATTCAGGTGTTAGGAAACAGGTAAGAAACACTCATAATTTGTCAGATAAATGGCAATTGCCAAATGTTCTAGTGGCCACTACTATATGTTTCCTGCTTCCTCCCTGACTTGTTAATAACTCCCAATCCTAAAAGCTACCACCCTTGCTGCATAATTGTTCCAGGCCTTTTTCAGCATCTCAATCAGACATCTAAAGTCATTTCTTTTTGCCAAACACAAAAAGTAACTTTTTATCCCATAGCTGCTTTTAACCACATTGATATTTTACATTTTAGAACTAACAAAATCATAAATCATAAGCAATTATTCATCTCTGGTCTTCCAAAATTTTTCATTTCTAAAGTAGATTGATTACTTACTATCGGTCATAATTATTATATTCAGAGAAACTCTGGAGTTCAGTTTTAAGAAATAAGAATTGAAACTCTTAGCTGTGCCAAATCCCCCTGTTCCCTGTGCCTCTTATTCTCTTATAAGAAAGTTCACAGCCAGATATTAATATATAGGATATGGATATGGTCTGATGTTTAATATTTAGATCTTGCATCTTTAGATTACTATAATTTAAAGTAAGTTCTGTTTTATTATTCTCTGGCTAATTTTTACAAGACATCTTTATATTCATCAGACACCAATAGATGTTTTAAAGAAATTATTCTTGCCGTCAGTGTTAACAATTTAAGTTCAATGCCATTCATGATACTCACTTTATTGTAAATGAGTATATTATGTCCCCAAATGTCTGACAGAAGACTTCAGATGTCAGCAAACATGCCACCTGGCTTAGCAGCAGACCTCTGAGGAAATGTCATTAATTTTATGCAGAGGCCCACTGTAAGAAAGAAAACAGACTCTGCCCTTAGCTTGCACTTAGCAACTTACTGAGCCGAATCTACATTAGAGATTGTTTTGGAGGCTTACAGGTTGAAAAATATTTTAGTGGATGAAGTTCTGCAACGTCTTCATTGTTATAGAATATTTATGGGGAAATTGCAAAACAATTTTCTGGACATTTCAGATACTCTTTTTCTTGGTATTAGAAAATGGCTGTCTTATTCTTAAAAACTACAGAACAGTTATCACCTATCATTTTGTTCAGCTTCCTTTTTATAGAATGTCTAAAATAACACTTCTGGATTTCTTTCACATATTAGGTCATTTCACTTAGGCTTACCTTTTATGTTGAACACAAAAGGAGGAACTCCCTATTAAAGGAGAAATTCAGTTACCTTCCCAAACGCAAATAAGAAACCATTGCTCTTTTGCTGTCTAGTTAATACAGTTGCTGTTACCTTGTTTTCTGTGGGAATGTTCAAAGAATGCATTTCTTTGAATAGAAGTCACAGCTGTGTAAATAGCGGGAAAAAAGTAACTTTTTATCCCATAGCTGCTTTCAACCACATTTGGCCAGTAAAGCAAAACTAGATAAAGCGCCAGACGTTTTCCAGTTGCATCTGAGGCTTGTGGAAGAGCATTGTCGTGGCTGTCACATCTTTTCTCAGCTGCTGTCACGAGTGCAACACTCTTCTGAGCATCACAGCCAGTGGTTTGGGCCTGTGTTTCAAAGTGTTCAATTGCTTTGATCTGGGTGATAGTCACTGTTTGGAGACTGCAGTGATATTTTAGTCTGAATCTCTTTACTAATATGATTTTTTTAATCCCAAGTTTTAACCTTTATGTAGAAGCTATAATGTTTCAAAGCAAAAAAAAAAATAAGGGGAGGACACCTGGCTGGTGTAGCTCAGTGGATCGGATGTTGTCTCATGGGCCAAGGGATCCTGGGTTCGATTTCTAGTCTGGGCACAGGCTGGGGTTGCGGTGTGCAGGAGGCAGCCAAGTAATGATTCTCTCTCATCATTGATGTTTCTCTCCCTCTTCCTTCCTCTCTGAAATCAATAAAAATATTTTTTTTAAAAATAAGAGAAGGTGATCAACCAAAGGACTTGTATGCATATGTGCATAACTCATGGACATAGACTATAGGGTGGTGAAGGCCTGGGGTAGAAGGTGGGGGCAGGCTGGAGAGGGTCAATGGGGAAAAGTGGGGGGCATATGTGATACTTTCAACAATAAAATTTAAAAATAAAATATAAGGGGGAATGTGTTACATGCCTTAGTTATCTAGACCAGGGATCGGCCAACTTTTTCTTTTTTTTTTTTTCAAGAGTAAGTTAATTATTTTTTAAAATGAAATTATTATCTGTGTACATATCTTACCATTGCCCCCCCCTCCCAGACATGTCCTCCCTCCCCAGAGTTTTGTGTCCATTGGTTGTACTTACATGCATGTATACAAGTCCTTCGGTTGATCTATTATCTCCCCCAGATCTCCCTCCCCTCCCCACTATAATTCGGCAGTCTGCTTGTTGCTTTACTGTCTCTATATCTATCTTTTGGTTCATCAGTTTATAATGTTCTTTATTATTCATAAATGAGTGAGGTCATGTGAACTTGAGTGAGATCATGTGAACTTTTTCTTAAAGGACCAGATTGTAAATATTTTGGGCTTTGAGAGCTGTGAGGCAAAAAAAAAATAAATAAATTGAAAAAATAAATAAATCAAGGACATTATGTAGGTTATTACAACCATTTAAAATGTATCCATTTAGAAATGTAAAACCGTTCTTGGCTCGTGGGCCATACAGAAACAGGCGGCAGGGCTGGGGGTGGCCAGGAGGCTGTACGTATGCTGGCCAGCCCTTCTCCAGTCATACCACCCCTCACTAACAGAAACTCTGTCCTTTTTTCCTCTCTCTCAGCCACATGCCTGGGGATTACGGAGTGATGGGTGACGATAGCTCTATCGATTACAGCGTTCACGAGGCCTGGAATGAAGCCACCAACGTCTACTTGGTAGTGATCCTCGTCAGCTTTGGTCTCTTCGTGTACGCCAAGAGGTAAATTTTTTAGTCCTTCCGGGGAGATCAGAAACTGGGCACTTAAAAGCTCTACAGGTTTGTTTTTTGTTTGTTTTTGTTTGATCTAAATTAAATGCACAAAAAATAATGTCATCCACATTTTTGTTCCTGCTCAGAAAGCACTGTCTACTGACGCCCTTGAGCACTGGGCACTGAGGTTTGGCTTGGGAAACCCTGTTATTTAGGAGATGGAGATTGAAGTGCAGCCCTTGGCACCCAGCCCCGCTGCACTATGTTCCCGTTCTGTCATATCTAACACCCAGCCTGTGCTCACGGGCACCTTTGGATGAGCACACATGTTGGCCCGTGTCCCTAAAATGCAGAGACACTGACTCCTGTGTGTTTAGCAATTCTCTCTTTGCACATTTGAAGTGTTCCTTTCTGTTTCCTGTGCAAGACTATCTGATAGCACTTATCCTATGTAATAAAAGGGTAATGTGCAAATCGACCACATGGCGGGACGACCGGCTGCTGTGACGCACACTGACCCCCAGGGGGCAGACGCTCAATGCAGGAGCTGCCCCCTAGTTGGCAGAGTGCTCCCACAGGGGGAGCACTGCTCAGCCAGAAGCTGGGCTCACTGCTGGCGAGTGCAGCAGCAGTGGCGGGAGCCTTTCCTAAGGATGTCCGACTGCCAGTTTAGGCCCGCTCCCACAAGAGGGACACACCCTCACCCCCAAGTGCACAAATTTTGTGCACTGGGCCTCTAGTTGAACAATATAGTATTATCTGATTACTCGTCTATTCCACAAAAATTTCAGTCCCTTGAGAACAAGGCCTGGTGTGTCACATAGTGTAAATAAATATTCCCTACTTTAATTCTAGATTCCGTAGCATAATGTTAACTGTTCTCTCTTACTCTCTCTGGCTCCTTTCCCTTTTGGGGGCGGCGGGGGCAGGAAGCGGCTTTGGAAAGGAAAAGTACTATTAGTTGAACTGACTTGCTTCTGCTTACAGGCACATGCTTTGGTATCCTCTGCCAAAGTCAAAAAGACAATAGATAGCTCAAAATAATTAGTAATCCAGAAATTATAGATGTTTGACCCGGAAGTAGTTCAAAGCCTATATTTGCTCTCAGACACACAGGCTCATCCTTCCTGGCTGCCTGACCCTTGAAGCAGCTAACCCATTGGCTGTCCAGACTGTAGGGGATGGGTTAGGGAAGGCCGTACATATCAGCACTGGCCCACTTGCAAGAAACAGTGTTCCACTAAAAATAGCCACTGCTTCCTCCCACCCCAAAGTTTTTTGTTTTGCTTTGTTTGTTTGTTTTTTAAATATATTTTATTGATTTTTTACAGAGAGGAAAGGAGAGAGATAGAGAGCCAGAAATGTCGATGAGAGAGAAACATCGACCAGCCACCTCCTGCACACCCCCTACCGGGGATGTGCCCGCAACCAATGTACATGCCCTTGACCGGAATCGAACCTGGGACCTTTCAGTCCGAAGACCGACGCTCTACCACTGAGCCAAACCGGTTTCGGCCCACCCCACAGTTTTAAAAGCAGGGGCACGGTTACCAATTTTAAAGAGATGGCCATACAGAAGCTCCACTAAAGTCGTGCTATTGTATATGAGAAATATGCTTATTTGTTATTTTCCAAAGTTAAGATCTGCTTACATTTTGTTTATTATCAAACCCAGAAAGTTAGCTTTATTTGGAGGACAGGAGAGGGAAGGGGGGGGATCAGATATTTTCTTGTTTATGCATTTTTCCATACAGTATTTGGTTTTTGGAAGGGTAGGGAGTGAAAGCACAACAGAGGCACATCGCTATGGAATGAAGTGGATGTGTTCAGCTACTTCCTTTCCTTTTGTATATCCCTGTGGCTATACATATACCGCTTCATACTTTTTAAAAATTATGTTTTTATTGATTTTCAGAAAAAGAAAAAGGGAGAGGGAGACGGGAGAGAGAAACATCAGTTGGCTGCCTCCCAACTGGGGATCGAACCCTGGGCCATGTGCGCTGACTGGGAATCAAATTGGCAACCTTTCGGTGCATGGAGTGGCGCTCAAGCAACTGAGCCATAGAGGCCAGGGCATACAGCTTCGTACTTTTTGTGAAAGAAAGAGAACTTGAGTCAAGGAAGCATCCACAGAGACAAAATAAAAGATGAATTCCTTGCCATTTAAGTCCTTAAATGTAGTTTCCGATTACAACGATCCTGGGAATATTATAGTCCTATAGGAATTAATACAAATCTCTCTTCTGCACTGGTTTTGTGTTTTAGGAATAAGAGGAAAATTATGAGGATATTCAGTGTGCCACCTACAGCAGGAACCTTGTCAGAACCCAACTTTTATGACACGATGAGCAAAATTCGTTTAAGACAGCAACTGGAAATGTATTCCATTTGTAAGTATATTCTGTGCTTTAGTATATGCAGAAGCACGTTTAAAGTAGAATTTTTGGAATTGAACACAGTTAGTAAAAGGTTGTCAGAAATAGTTGATAATGAGAACCGCGTGCCCTTTTCAGAAGCTCATCACAGTGTCAGCAAAGGAGGTCTGCATGAAGTTAATGCTTCAGGACTCTGTGCTTGTACCGGCCCTTCCAAGACTGAGAAGGACCCTAAGAATAAATATATGGGGTTGTTCTTTTGGCAATTTTGGGGGAAAAAAAAAATTAGCTATTTTAATAACCAGGTAAGATTGCTATCTGTTCTTGTTCTAATTTGCCCTCCTTTGTACGCCCCTCTCTGTGGCCAGGAGCATTTGAGGGGATCTAAGGGAGAGTTGAGTTGGAGCTACTTTTAGCTGGGTTTAGAAGTTTTATTTATGGAGTTTGCTGTCAGTCTCTTCTATTATAAGTAAACTACTGCAAGCCAAAGCAGAAGAGGAATGGCTTTCAGGAATATGGCATGTGATATTAACGTGCAAGGTCAGGGGTCATATCTCAATATCAACATGTTCCATAGTACTGAACACGGTGACTGTATAGGTAGTGGGGAAGAAACAAGGTTTAAATGTACGGAGTTAGAATGAATCGTAGGCCACAACCATGTATGCCACCATTTAAAAGAATAAGGGTGTTATTTCTGTGGTGTATCATTAAGCTGAGAAAAGCAAAATATAATAGTATATTATACGATGCCACTCTTAAAGTCAAATGACCACAACGTACCTTATATTATCTACATATAATATAAATGTTCTATGGAACTATGCAAGCATAGAGAAAGGTTTGAAGAGACACACGTCAGATTATTAACATTATTACCTTGAAGGGGAGAGTGTGGGATTTGAAGAAAAAAGATGATATTTTTTAAAAGAAACATATCTGTGTAAAAATGTAAGAGAGAGAGAGAGTGTGTGTGTGTGTGTACGCATAGAAAAACCAAAGAGTGAAATTTTAGATGAAAAGTAGAAAAAATATATTCATGCATATATATTTTACACAGTTAAGACCTATAAAAAATTCTTTAGCATAAATTTTGTCCTAAGAACTGGTAACAGCAGTTCCTCTAAGGAAAGCACCTGTGTAGGCAGCTACAGGACTGATCAGCTAAGAGAAATACACTTTCACTGTTTTTTTTCTTTTGTTCCTTCTGCACTTTGTTCTGTACCAGCTCAAGCTAAGCAGTAAAACTAACATAGCAGCTTTATTCACGATAGCCAGAAGGTGGGGACAATCCAAGTGTCCTTGATGGATGAATGGATACACAAACAATGCTACTTAAATACCAGTACAGCACAATGTAATTCAGCCTTTAAAAGGAAGACACTTAAAACTGACTAAAATGGCAAATTTATACAAATTTATATTTTATCACAACAGAAAAAAATCCTTTAAAAAAATTACTTTTTTTTTTTTTTTAAGTATAACGTCAGAAGCTTTGTAAGGAAAATTATAAGGGAAGAATTAAGTTTTCATTGATGCCTAGTCAAAACAGAAGTTACCTCCTACCAGTTGTATATTCAGTAGTTTAACATGCACAATTATAAACCCACTGTACAGTGTACAGGCTTTTTTTCTTCTTTGATGGGAACAGCATAAAATAAGATCAGAATTCCTGTCTTTGTAAGGCATATCAGTTTTCTATTGCTGTTATAACAAATTATCACAAATTTTGTGGTTTAAAACAACACAAATACATTGTCTTACGTTCTTATAGGTTAAAAATCCTACAACAGTCTGGCTGGAATAAAAATCTAGATGTGAACAGGGATTTCTTTCTGCTAGCAGAAATGCTGTTTTCTTTCTGAGCCAGCAGCATTGCATAGATCTCCTCATTCTTCTATTATCTCTTCCCCTCTGTCCGAACTCAGCCAGGAAAGGTTCTCCAATTTTAAGGGTCCATGTGATTAGGTGGGACCAGGTAATTCAGGGTAATCTCCCCCTCTCTTACCTTACCTTAATCATATCTTCAAAGTCCCCTTTGTAAGGTAACATATTCACAGATTGGCGGGATTAGGATGTAGACAATTTTGGAAGCCATTATTCTATAAACAATGAGTGTGTGTGTGTGTGGATCTGCACGTTTAGTGAACCCCTGATCATTGGAACATTCTTTGTGACATATCTAGCCCTAACAAAGTCTGGCAGTTCAAGAGGAAATAGCAAACAAAATTCTTTTTCTTAAAAAGGATTCCCAAAGTTGTATAAGCATTAGGCCACAAAAATCTGAATTTACCCACATGTACTGTAAACAAGAGGTATCTCTTTCTTGGCTAAGAAACAATGAAGAGACTGAAAGTTTTAAAGTTAAATAGTCGATGACATTCCTAAAGATTTTAGCCCTGTACTTTCTCTAGTTTTAGCTTGGGACCGTTATTTTATTTTATTTTATTTTATTTTATTTTATTTTATTTTATTTTATTGTTGACAGTTTTATAGATGTCCCCCAGTTTTCCATCCCTTCTCCCAGCCCAGATAAGACCATTCTTCAAATAAACATTTCTCAGAAGTACAAAGAGAATACAGAATTTTTTTTTTCCCCATCGAGTTTATAGTAATCACAAAGTTCAATAATACATCTCTTAGGCTTACTAGTTAAAATATAGTCAAATTCCTTATTATGTGGACAAAAGCATTATTCTTAATTTATCTTAAAGTGGTAATAGAGGGCAAGCAAGAAGTAAATTGCAGAATATTAATTTAACAGTTTAATTAATATTTACCCCATATTTTAAAGCTCTGAATAATCCTGATATACAAATAATAGCAATAACAATAGCATATAAAATGGATATCAGCAACGTTGAGATATTAGAGGATCATAAAGTATAATAAAAATTTTCTCCAACAGAAAAAAGGTTAATTCTAAGCTAATTCTTTACTGAGATTCATGACTTGTCGTTTAATGATATTAACTAGTAATTATTTTGCTATTTTATTAAGTTTATCTCTTTTTTCTTGTTTTTCTTGTTTTGTTTTGTTTTGTTTTGTTTTTTTAATAGCAAGGAAGTATGAGCATCAACAACCACAAAACCAAGCTGACAGTGTGCAGCTCTCACTGGAATGAAATCTCAGAAAATGAACAGCATAAATAATTGCTAAACAGTATTGTAGCAAGCTCCTAATTCCACCAAGTCATGAACAGCATCTTTAAAAAGTCTTCTGTCTCCATACGATAATTTTCCTTGTGATCTTTATCCAACATTTTTGGTGTATTTTCTTTTACTTTTTTAAAATTGCATCTCTGAGTCGTTTGTTACACAAATAAAAAATGGCTCAGAAGACCTGAAAACGGGAAGAAAGACTGTAACCACAGAGGTGGTAATTTTACTTTGTGAACACTTTTGATTTCTTCAAGATGCAATCAGGAGTGAAAACCCATCTTTGGAAGCGAGACTATGAAACTTATGCCACTTGGAGCTCAAATTTTTGCAAAATAAAACATGGAAATCCAGTCTTGGTATAATTTCCTCTCAGATTGTGTTCTGTGATAAATGTAACATGGATAACTGACTGATTTGTGTTCTCATTGGTGTCGGTTACTACTCTTTAATTGAATTACTACTTGCTTCTTCAGAACTTGCACAGTGGACTGTCTTTCTATATCAGGAAGCATACCCATCTGCTGATTATGGAAGCCTTCTGGAATTTTCCCTTCATGTGTTCTTAGGAGTTCGTTTGCTTTTTTCTTTAATCCCAGAGTTTCATTTCCATCACAAGAGTCTTCTTTCGACCATACTGGGGCCATGTTGCCAAATAAATGGGCACTTCTATAACTGTTGTTAGCAACTTGCTTTTCATCGTAAGACTGTCGATGTTTAACGCAACTGTCTGGTTTCTTATGTTTTCTTAGCATAATAAGCTTCCCTGAAGACTCCTATCTTGTACCATTTTCTACTGTACGTTGAAATGTTTTTACCTCCTTTGTCGTAGTTAAGTAAAAGCTGATTCAAGGTAGTGGCAGGGAAGTTTAACTGTCCAGTTAACTGGCCAAGAATTAGTTTTATGAGCCAAAATATTCTTAATTCTAGGAGTTAAGGTTAATCTGTCAGCTTTATTTTCTTTTCCCTTTCTAGTTGTAAAGTAAAAGAATATAAATTTTAAATGAAAGGGTTTAGGCCAAATAAAATCAGGGAAATCGCATTTTCTTTTTAAATTACATCATTCAAAAATGTATATACTGTCTGAGGTAAATTGTTGACCAAATGGAGCAATTCTTCCTTAACTCACAAGTGAGTGAATGCACTCCTATACAAAGGATGAAGAACCATGTATAACTACAACCGTGTAAAATTAAACAGTTTTAATTACAGGCTGGGGGTAGCAGAGTGGCAAGGAGACGGCCTTCTTAAACTCTACTTTCCTTAGGAGACACCATGTATTTCCATCAGCAGAGGATGAAACCGAGCAGGAACAGTGTACTTGCTGTCCTTGAGGTGTGACACAATCTGGACCAATCACAAACCTGGCCATCTCAGATTATTTGTATAGTGTATGTAAATAAATGTAAATCACAATGAGATAGTGATTGTGTTTATCTGTGTCCACTAGACACAGTCCTACTAAACACTGATAGATCATTCGGTGAGCATCAAACCCTGGCAAGCAAGAGCGGATGAATTCCTGATTTTTTTCTCTAAAGCTAACACGGGAATCACTCACCCCCACTGGCAGGAACAGCAGTAAGTCTGCCTTTGAAGTTTCCTCTCTGCTTCCACAGCTGAGCTGGAGAGGGCGGGAGCCTGCAGCCACACTTCAAAGCGACTCCAGGTGATTGTCCTGTTCCTGCCCCCAATCCACCACAGATTCAGTGGAGCTATTTTCTTTGGAAGAAAAGAGGGATGACTAATAAGCTGGTAAATAACATTTGTGTCCTTTTGTTTCTTCTTTTTAAATGCAGAAGATACTGAGCAGTAAGTAAGCACCGGTCAACCTCTCTCGGTGCACAGCTTGAGCACGTTAAATAGTTGTTTAAGCTGATGCCAGCCAGCTGCACTCAGGGAAAACAGATGTTGCTCTTGACCTCACACTGCTTCAGGTGGAGTTAATGTGATTCGTCAGAGGATGAAATGTGGAGAGTTTATGGTAAAATTGGTGTAATGTCAGAAGTATTTTTAATATTGAGTAGAAATAACAAAATAGTGGTAATAAAAATAATTTCAGATAGTAACAAATACATCGGAGGAAAAGGACAAAAGTGTATGGAATGAAGTAATTCATTCAACAAATAGGTGTGAAATACATCACTGTGTGCTAGTCATGTGTTGTCTATAGACTTAGATTTTAATAATTAGAATAGAAACAGGTGCAGGAAAACTAAAAGGAAATATGGTTACTTATTCCCATACCTTTATCATCTATGCAAAATAGTGAGAATAGGGACTGGATCTTATTCTTAACCTGTTTTCCACTTACCTACCCAATAAAGCCAGAGCCAAACTTGCATAAAACTATAAGCAAGACAAGTTTCCCACCTACCTTCTGACCCTCGGCAGTCTCCTATAAGTCTGTACAGGCAAGACAGGTCTTAAATGAGGACTTAAAAGTAAGGATGAGGAACTAAGCTTAGACCTCATGTGGTAAACTCTCCTTAGTCCTGTAGAATGCCTGAACACATATGGGGACTTTCAGCAGCAGGTCATCTCTCTACTATCATTGACTTCTCACCTACAATAAAAGTGGCATTTAGCGTTGGATTCTATGCTGATGTATTTTCCACCCTTTCTTAGAGTAAAAAACTAAAGCTATATATGAATATTAGTAACATTCCATATCCTAAGTAGGCAGTTGGGATAAGTCAAAGGGGAGGCCACTTACTGTCCAGGTCCATTGATCGTAGTGGAGCCCAAAATTTGATACTGAAAGGGCACTGTTTTGTGTTCACTTACTCAGTTTTTCTTGTTTACTGGTTCCAGAGATTCTTAAAAGAGCAGCTCCATCCCAGGGATTTTATTTAACAACTGCAGGCCTGGTGCACGGATTCATGCACCGGTGGGGTCCCTCAGGCTCACCTGTACCCTTTCACAATCCAGGACCCCTCGGGGACATCGGACTGCGGCTTTGTGCCTGAGGGATATAGTAGTCAGACATTCCCTGAGGGATCCCAGATTGGAGAGGATGCTGGCTGGGCTGAGGGACAACCCCCCCAACCTCCCCAGTGCACGAATTATGTACATTGGGCCTCTAGTCAATAAAATGTTGATTGGGAACCAACTTAGACTGGGGAAATATGTCAATTGTCCAGAACATGAGAGGGGATGCTGGCCTGGCTAACTGCAGATAAACTATATATATGCACCCATAGGGGGCCGTGGAGGCTTTTACCGGCAAATCTTTTTGGGAAAGGAGTTGCTCCTTTTCTTCCTTAAGACTTTGCTCATCAGAGTTCACTTTCTCTTTTCATCTTCAAGACCTGTGATGTTTTCTGAAGAGGAGTGGAGGTTGAGTTTCAGAAACCCAGTCCAAGGACAGAGGTTCACTTATCTACAATTTATTAATGAATACAGGTGTTTGGAAACTTAATTACTCAACATTTGCTTGTTTAGTTGCAGTCTAAGGTGCTGGATGCTTCTGGCTACTTCGTAGGTGCCTTACTTAATGGCTTATGGCCCATTGATATGGTGAAATAGAATTTATAATAATTCCTACGTATGCTAACTTAATACTTGTAAAATATACCCTTTCTTTGTTTATAAAAAAAAAAAAAAAAAAAAAAAAAAAAAAGACCCTGGCAAGTCTAGTATGCTTCAAAAGGATTATAACATTTTTAGAAACGCTAGTCCTTAATTAAAGCTGTGGAGAAATTTGAACTGAAGGTATTAACCAGTATATGACAAATGCAGACACTTAAATTGTTCTGCTAGCTGACAGTTTTGACTGAAACTTTTTCAATTTAGTTTAAACAATTCTGAATGGAGGGAAATCATTTCATGATCAAATAATCTTTTACTTGTCATTGTTGGCCAACCAACAATTTTATTTGAACTTCTTTCTCCTAAGAAGTTCAAATAAAATTTGAGGTAACAATTTAGTTGATCGAACACGGAATTTGAAACCTAAGTTCCAGACTGTTTTGATTTGTGATGTATCTGTTTGAATTTGAGCTTATCATTAATCTTACTAGGTCTCAATTTGTTAAATCTGTTAAATAGGAATAAGACTGCCTTTACCCCAGGCGTGGACAGATTCTAAATAATAAACCACCTGAGGGCCACGCGGCTCGCTCCGCCCCTCTGATCGGTGCCCATGGCTTCGGCCTCCTCCGTGGCCGGGTCGGGCCGCGGCGCCCGGAACCTGCTGCAGTTCCTGCGGCTCGTGGGGCAGCTCAAGAGAGTCCCACGGACTGGCTGGGTGTACAGAAATGTCGAGAAGCCAGAGAGCGTGTCGGATCACATGTACAGGATGGCAGTTATGGTTCTGGTGACCAAGGATGATCATCTGAACAAAGACAGATGTGTACGCCTAGCCCTGGTTCACGATAAGGCAGAATGCATCGTTGGGGACATAGCACCAGCAGATAACATCCCCAAAGAAGAAAAACATAGGCGAGAAGGGGAAGCTATGAAGCAACTAACCCAGCTTCTCCCCAAGGATCTCGGAAAGGAGCTCTATGAACTCCGGGAAGAGTATGAGACCCAAGCTAGCGCGGAGGCCAAATTTGCGAAGCAGCTGGACCAATGTGAGATGATTCTTCAGGCTTCTGAGCACGAAGACCTGGAGAACACGCCGGGGAGGCTGAAGGACTTCTATGACTCCACGGCAGCACTAGGTCTGCTCTAGGCCTGGCCTCCTTATTTCTGTATTGGGGTGTTATAACCGCCTAACTGGGCCGGCTAGACTCGCCATTCATCCTGAGGGTTTGCTTTTAAACCTGTGGCTTTCCTTTTCCTGAAAAAATAAAATCTTGATACTTTGCCTAAAAAAAAAAAACAAAAAACCCTTGAGCACCCTGGAATTCAATGCCAAGTCCCTTGGTGGTTGGTGGTGGGGTTTAATATTCTTTCACTGTGTAACCAATTTATGTTTTTAAGAGTTCTAAAGAGAAAAGCCAGACAAAAATGGAGTCCCTAATCCCTCCAGGCCATTAGAATATGTATTTCTTTTAATATATTTTATTGATTTTTTTACAGGAAGGAAGGGAAAAAGATAGAAAGCTAGAAACATCGATGAGAGAGAAACATTGATCAGCTGCCTCCTGCACACCCCCCACTGGGGATGTGCCCGCAACCAATGTGCATGCCCTTGACCGGAATCAAACCTGGGCCCCTTGAGTCCTCAGGCCAACGCTCTATCCACTGAGCCAAACCGGTTTTGGCTAGAATATGTATTCTTTAACTTTCTCTGCAGTCCCAGGAAAAGCAGCCAGTTAATGAGAACTTAAACAGTACACGAATCAAGTCACCTATATATAATTATCACTCACTTCAACTACTACATTTAAAAAATCTTCCCTGATACTATCTCCATTTTTCAGATGGAAATATGGGCACAGAGAAATTAGGGGAGAGGATCAATATTGAAAACCAGAATTACATTCTCTCTTGAGATCCTTTCCATTCTATTTCTCTATGATTCTCACACACGGAGTGGTTAGGAGGTTCAAGCATTGTTTCCAGTAGAGAATAATGTCGACATTATTGCTGGGAAATAACAGCATGCCTCATTCAAGTCCCTTTGAGATAGAAGTCAAGCAAATGGCAGCAAGTAAGTTTTCCTTACGATATTTTGAGGATTCTTTTTGTTCCTTTTGTATTCATTTGATTACCCACAATTTATAAAGCACATGTTTGTTTGGTTTGTACACTTTGTACCAGGCAAGTCTGGGCATGCAAAGACCATAGCGTGTTCACAAAAGCCACTTAGCATATTTGGTTGTCATTTAAGTTATGACTTTGAAAATGAAGAAGACAAGACCTTTTATAGTGATAGATTTATAGATTGCCAAGTAATCTAAATTTAAAATCAGTTGATAGAGAAAATGCTATTTTTTCATCACCACTCTGCCATAGTACTCTGCGATGTTTTTTTTAAAATACCCACAGTAACTCATAAGCATGACATGAAGGTTTCAGTCCCTCTCCTCCTGTGCATCCATTTTGTAAGTTTCAGAAACTACAGCCACCAGGGCTTTCTATTGATGATTGGATGAAATCTAGTGTTTCCTCCAAAACACGTATCCTGACATATTACAAATCAGGGAAAGAAAGCCCAGAGACTTAGCCTTAGGAGCACATACAGGTCTTGGGGTGTGTATATTCCCTTTCCCTTCTTCTATTTCCTCTTTTTGCCACAATTTCAGTTCAGTGACTCAAGAATATACAAGTTTTAAAAAAAGAAAAAAGAAAAGGGATCCTGCAGTTCAGAGGCCATCAGTGGTCAGTGAATGGGAAGTGAGTACGTGTGTTCCGAGGGCCTGTAAGGGGGGTGGGGGGGGGGGGGCGCGGAGCTAGCAGCGTGGGCTGTGGCCAGAGAAAGATCTGATACATTCCAGCTCCTTTTCTTACCAGCAGGCTTTGTGCCCTCTTCTGAAAAGTGGAGATAGTAACTCCCACCTTAAAGAACTATTTTTAGGGTTAAATGAAACTCACCACATTAACTGCTTAACCTGGTGCCTGATAGAATACGTATTCCATAGAGTTGTCATTGTTGTATACTCTCTTTGAGCCAGTCTATCTAATTTATGCTAAAATCAAGGGAAGTATTACTAAGATGAATCAAGAAAAAAGGCTATTCTTGGGAGTGAAACATTTGTATATTTTTAAAAATATGAAGTTTCTTACTTCTGATAACATACAGTAACATGCATGAAGTATGGCAAACCTGTTTTAATGAACAAATAAGAACCACTTAGAATTATCATAGCAGGATATAATGGAAAGAGGTGTTAGGCAAATCAACTTGATTTCAATTCCAGCTCTGTCCCTTGAGCAAATTTATCTTTGGCGTCCTCATTTGTTAAATTAACACTTGGGAGGAGTGTAGTGAGGGTGACATATTAAAAGTATATACACTGAGTGGCCAGATTATTATGATGTCTGAACACACAATAATCTGGCCACTCAGTGTATATCCTATATAATAAAAGGCTAATATGCAAATTGTCCCCTCGACCAGGAGTTCAACCAAGCAGGCTGGCCAACCACCCAGGCCCCCCCCAACCCCCCACCCCACCAGGCTGGCTGGACCCCACCCATACACAAAATCATACCCCAGGCTGCATGCATATATATATATATATATATATATATATATATATATATATATATACACACACACACACACACACACACACAGGGAGGGCTCCAGGGCATGTCTGGCCCATCTCGTGCACCGATGGAGTCCCTCAGCCTGGCCTGCACCCTCTCGCAATCCAGGACCCCTTGGGGAAATGTCAGAGAGCTGGTTTCAGCTGGATCCCACAGGCTACTCCCCTTGGGAGGGCGCCAGACACAGGGCTCATGGCTGGTGAATGCTGCTGTGGCAGAGTGAGCATCTCCCAATTGGGATTGATTGGACTCGAGCCCACAGCAGGCACAGTGGAGCTGCGATGAGTGGGAGTTGCAGATAGGACCTGTGGGTGGCATTGGACTGTGGGTTTCAGCCTGATCCCTGCAGGCCACCCAGAGGGACCCCACCCATGCACAAATGTATGCACTGGGCCTCTAGTTGCTAATAAAAGAAAAAGCATAATGTTCATTGACTTTATTAGTAAACATGTTTCAAGTGTTCTTACAAGATGGATCAAACAAGTATTCTAAAGAAAAATTTTAAAATAGTCTGATATACGTAAACATTCTCTTGGAAATTATTTGCACTATTGTTACCTAATCCTTTTGTCACCTATATAACCAAACATTAACCTCAAGTGGGTTGTGATTGTGAGTGGCTTCTGGAGTGTGTGGCAAAGTTCTATTTCTTGACCTGGATAGTAATTACAGGGGTGTGTCTGCCTTTTAATTTCTTATTAAACTATATATGTGTTTTGTGTAGATTTTATTGCCTGTGTTCTATTACCCAATAAAACATTTTAAAGTAAAAACATTTACTCAACCCAGTTGCTGTATGAACTACTGCAAAGTGAAATCATAGAACACTGATTTAGAGAGGTTTCATTATGTTTTTAATAAAATAGGAGCAATATACAAATATTTGGGGGGGAAGGGAGGTCCTTCCGCCAAGGCACCAAATTACTCAACGAGGTTTCCATTCTCATCTGAAAAATTTTAGATGCCAACAACTGTAAATATAAAGTAGAATTCATATCATTTTAGACAGTAACAGTTTACATGGCAATATACATGATCAATGTTGTTAATTTAAAAAGATGAATCAAATTGTAATGAGTCATATTACATGAATTCAGCCACAATAAGCATGGAAGTGCCCACTTAAAGAATTAAAAGAGCCTGGCTGGTGTGGCTCATCAGTTGAGCATCAACCTATGAACCAGGAGGGCAGAGTTCAATTCCTGGTCAGGGAACATGCCAAGATTATGAGCTTGATCCTCAGTAGCAGGCATGCAGGAGGCAACTGATCAACGATTCTGTCTCATCATTAATGTTTCTATCTCTCCTTTTCCCTTTCTCTCTGAAATAAAAATATATTTGGTGGAAAAAAGAAGAATAAAAAGAGATCAGTAGATGACAAGTTAAATCTGAGTCCACTTTTATGTGGCTCTTAAAAGAATAAAAAGATTACTGAGCTACAATAAATATTTATTGAACAAGTTACTATCATCACTAGTGAAAATTGTAAATGTTCTGTTCATATGGAGAAAACATATGAATGAGTATCTTTGGGCAACTTTGCTTATAAAGAAGAGAAAGCTACTCAAGCTTTCTGTAGATAAAGGAACATAGAGGTACCTTATGACATCCAGGGATCAAAGCAGAAAACCTGTCAAGAACAAAGGAAACACCCGTCTCTCTCTACTAGACCCCATAGATTCTTGTTCTCTTCTCTCTGCAGTCCATTCCCTCTCCTTGATGATCAATATATGTGACCCTCTATGGCTGTCCTATGCTTCCAAAACTTGGGGCTATCATCAGATGCTAAAGGATTCATTCTGTCTGAGACCCAACTCCAAATAACTATGAGCAGAAGAAACCACAGGAGCATAAGGTTCTTTGCTAAGGCATTGTAGGGGTAAGAGGAAATGACTTACTGGAATTCAACATAGACAAGGACATGGCCACTAAAATGATGGAATAATGTATTCATTCCACCACCCCCAAACTACCATGAGTCAGACTGTGCTGGGGATTCAAGGACAAATAATGACCAGAGATCAGGCTTCAGAAACCATGACAGAATATCTAAAAGAATTCTTTGAAGAGGATAAAATACCAGAAGTATAGTCTTTCAAGATCCTAGAAGAGGTGATGATGAATTTCACAGTGGAGATTATATTAGAGCAACCTTGAAGCATGAGTATGAAAACTCTCAAAGCACAGTCAAGCAAAAGATGTGTTAATACACATACAGCAAAGTTGGGGATTTCTCTTCAATAAAGGACACTGTGGATATAGTCTTGACAGGTCCAAGAGGAGATTTTTGCAATATCTAATACTGAGAAGGAGCTAATGCAAACCAATAAGGAACAATGATGGGTGTTCCAATAGAAGATGGGCAAACATTGAGAATGAGCAATTAGCAGAGGAGAAAACAAAAAATATCAGACTTCATTCATTCATTCATTCATCATTTTACACCAATTAGACCAGCAAAATGAGCAAGCTGGATAGCACTAAGTGTGGGTGGGGGCTGAGGGCATTCGGCTCTGGGATGGGAGCAGTATTAACCAGTGCATGCGTCCTGCAGAACACTCCAGCAGTGCCTGTCAAAGTCTCCATGAACACTGCATCCAGTGCGGGAGGAGGGCACAAAGTGGAGAGG